GATCTGATGGGATCTGAGGTGACGGAGCCGTAAGATCTGATGGGATCTGAGGCGACGGGGAGGGGCCCGGTACGATCTGATGGGATGTGGGGTGACGGAGCCGTAAGATCTGATGGGATATGGGGTGACGGAGCCGTAGATCTGATGGGATATGGGGGTGACGGAGCCGTAAGATCTGATGGGATCTGGGGTGACGTAGCCGTAAGATCGATGGGTTCTGGGGTGACGGAGCCGTACGATGGGATCTGGGGTGATGGAGCCGTAAGATCTGATGGGATCTGGGGTGACGGAGCCGTAAGATCTGATGGGATCTGAGAGGTGACGGGGCCGTAAGATCTGATGGGATCTGAGGTGACGGGCCGTACGATCTGATGGGATGTGGGCTGACGGAGCCGTAAAATCTGATGGGATATGGGGTGACGGAGCCGTAAGATCTGATGGGATATGGGGTGACGGAGCCGTAAGATCTGATGGGATCTGAGGTGACGGGGCCGTACGATCTGATGGGATGTGGGGTGACGGAGCCGTAAGATCTGATGGGATCTGGGGTGACGTAGCCGTACGATGGGTTCTGGGGTGACGGAGCCGTACGATGGGATCTGGGGTGATGGAGCCGTAAGATCTGATGGGATCTGGGGTGATGGAGACCGTAAGATCTGATGGGATCTGGGGTGACGGAGCCGTAAGATCTGACGGGAAGGACCACAAATGAAAAGCCACCAGAAGATACGTTCACAGCTGCTCTATTTATCAGCGTTTTCACACCAGATTGATTTATTTTAGGTAGTTATATAGCGCCGTCAATTTACGCAGCACTTTACATATATATTGGGGCCGGGGGACAAGGTCATCTAGAGCCCAAAATTGCCAAATTGCGAGCGTCAGCAAAATCCCCCCCCCTAAAAATGCCCGAAAAAAAAAACGCCTGAAAAATGCTTCTTTCTATTGAAATCAATGGAAAACGCCTGAAAAATGCCTCCAAAACTCCTCTTGCCTTTGAAATCAATGGAAAAACGCCTGAAAAATGCCTCTTCCCATTGAAATCAATGGAAATGCCTGAAAAACGCCTCAAAAAACGCTTCTTTACCATGGAAATCAATGGAAAACGCCTGGAAAACGCCTCTTCCTATTGATCTCCCCAGAGCGTCTCGATGGGAAACGTCCGCCGTTCCAGCATGACAATGACCCTAAGTGTAAGGCCAAGCTGACCCTCAAGCAGAAAAAGGTGAAGGTTCTGGAGTGGCCAGCACAGTCTCCTGACCTTCATATCATCGAGATGCTCTGGGGAGATCTTCAAAATGTGCCGTTCATGCTGGACGGCCAAAGACTTTGCATGGCCAGGAGGCATTTTGCTGAGACGTATGGGCAGCTCTACCTCCGGCAAGACGACACCTTGACACGCCCCATAGCTTCTGGCACGCTGTAATCTGGAGTGAGGAGGCCAAAATAGAGCTTTATAGTCACAACCATAGGCGTTATATTTGGAGAGGGGTCAACAAAGCCTATAGTGAGAAGAATACCATCCCTACTGTGAAACATGGTGGTGGCTCGCTGATGTTTTTGGAGGTATGTGAGCTCTAAAGGCATGGGGGAATCTTATGAGAACTGATGGCAAGATGGATGCAGCATGTTATCAGAAAATACTGGTGGGACAATTTGCATTCTTCTACACGAAAGCTGCGCATAGGGGGACGCTCTGGGACTTTCCAGCATGACAATGGCCTGAAGCACAAGGCCAAGCTGGCCCTCAAGCAGAAAAAGGTGAAGGTTCTGGAGTGGCCACCACAGTCTCCTGACCTTCATATCATCGAGACACTCTGGGGAGATCTCAAACATGTCGTTCATGCTGGACGGCCAAAGACTTTGCATGGCCAGGAGGCATGTTGCTTGACATATGGGCAGCTCTACCTCCGGCAAGACGACACCTTGACACGCCCCATAGCTTCTGGCACGCTGTAATCTGGAGTGAGGAGGCCAAAATAGAGCTTTTATAGTCACAACCATAGGCGCGTTATATTTGGAGAGGGGTCAACAAAGCCTACAGTATCATCGAGACACTCTGGGGAGATCTCAAACGTGCCGTTCATGCTGGACGGCCAAAGACTTTGCATGGCCAGAGACGCATGGGCAGCTCTACCGCCGGCAAGAATTCGGTGGCCTCATAGACAACTATTACAGAAGACTGACCTCTGCCATTGATGCTAAAGGGGGCGCTACACAGGATTAAGAACTAAGGGGGTGCAGACTATTGAACAAGGGGGGCATTTCATTGGTTGTAACTTGTTGCCATGTTCTGTTTTATGATTGGTCCATTCTGTTATCACCTCCATAATAGGAATCCCATAAGATTGGGTTTTGCCGGCTCACTCATAGTCCATCCTGTATATTACCGACTCTCCAAGGGGAGGAGCCAACTTTTCACCACGACTGTAGAGAAGGAGACCCCAGTAACCTCTCAGATCTCCCCTCCCCCGCACGGACCGATAGCGATCTTGCCATCACGACTTTGTTTACGTCTTCATGTTCTTCTACCCTAAATGGGTTTGATTTTCTTTGAAGAGACGCCATTAAACGGTTACGGCTTACGTGGAAAACCATTTCAATCCTCGCCGAGAGGAATGATCCAGAAGGGGTTAAAGAGTTCGCTCAGCTCCTGATCGTTTATGTCAAGCTTCCACCGGCGGGCCGCGCACATTGCACTTTATAAATTATTCCCAGCTAAAAATCACTGAATCTTGTTTTCCAATTAACACCCGGCATGCCATCGGCACCCGTCATGTGACAATGCCGGGAACGCTGCATAATTTCGGTAGCTCCTGGTGGAAGATTTTATGCCTAGCTGGCAAATAAGGCTTGATTTCAATTAAAGCAGTGGTTCTCAACCTGTGGGTCGCGACCCCTTTGGGGGTCAAACGACCCTTTCACAGGGGTCACCTAACACCATCGGAAAACACATATATTATACTGTGTAGAAAGCAGCTGCTGTGTTGAAAGCAGCTACTCTGTTGAAAGCAGCTACTAGAAAGCAGCTACTGTGTAGAAAGCAGCTACTGTGTTGGAAGCAGCTACTGTGTTGGAAGCAGCTACTGTGTAGAAAGCAGCTACTACTGTGTGAAAGAAAGCAGCTACTGTGTAGAAAACAGCTACTGTGTTGGAAGCAGCTACTGTGTTGAAAGCAGCTACTGTGTTGAAAGCAGCTACTTTGTAGAAAGAAGCTACTGTGTTGAAAGCAGCTACTGTGTAGAAAGCAGCTACAGTGTAGAAAGCAGCAGTATTGGAGGTAAAACGACACTTCATGAATTATAATTTCTGGGTAAATAATTATAGGGTTGGGGGTCACCAAAACATGAGGAACTGTATTAAAGGGTCACGGCATTAGGAAGGTTGAGAACCACTGAATTAAAGGGTCATTTCACCTGAAAAAGGATCTTTAAGTGGGGGGAGGGGAGGGGGAGGCAGCCCTTGCCTTCTTATAGGTTATGGATTAGAGGACCAGCTGGATGCATCATCCTGGTTCTGCTCCCGTCCACCTGCAAGTGTTGGCTTTTTATTCCGGCCCACCTTGCTTTGCTCTGGCCCCTCATGGGGTATTCCCTCCCACCTTGTGTGTTTCAGATCTTCCTGCTACAATCTCCATGATATAAAACTCGTACAAATCCAGCAGGGATGGTGGGAGCCCCCATAATGGGCAGAGCAGGGGTGCAAGATAGGTTTCTGGTGAGGATCTCCTACATCTTCCCATGGACCAGGCAGTAGGGTCATCTCTCTTTTCCATTTCCTGTCTCTTCCACAGGCTTCCTATAAAATGTTTTTAGAGTGAAGATATAAGATTCCAGACTTTTTAGCTATCTGGAATGGGTACATTCTTCCCACCGACCACCAATGGACGGGGCAATTCTTCCCACCGACCACCAATGGACGGGGCATTCTTCCCACCGACCACCAATGGACGGGGCATTCTTCCCACCGACCACCAATGGACGGGGCATTCTTCCCACCGACCACCAATGGACGAGGCATTCTTCCCACCGACCACCATGGACGTAGGCATTCTTCCCACCGACCACCAATGGAACGAGGCATTCTTCCCCACCAACCACCAATGGACAAGGCATTCTTCCCACCGACCACCAATGGATGAGGCATTCTTCCACTTCGACCACCAATGGATCATTCCCGCCGACCACCAATGGACGGGGCATTCTTTCCCGCCGACCACCAATGGACGGGGCATTCTTCCCGCCGACCACCAATGGACGGGGCATTCTTCCCACTGACCCAGCAATGGACGGGGGGCATTCTTCCCACCGACCACCAATGTAAGGGACATTCTTCCCACTGATCACCAATGTAAGGGACACATTCTTCCCACTGACCCCCAATGTAAGGGGCATTCTTCCCACTGACCCCCAATGTAAGGGACATTCTTCCCACTGACCTCCCAATATAAGGGACATTCTTCCCACTGATCACCAATGTAAGGGGGCATTCTTCCCACTGACCCCCAATGTAAGGGACATTCTTCCCACTGACCCCAATGTAAGGGACATTCTTCCCACTGACCTACAATGTAAGGGACATTCTTCCACTGACCCCCAATGTAAGGGACATTCTTCCCACTGACCTACAATGTAAGGGACATTCTTCCCACCGATCCCCAATGTAAGGGGCATTCTTCCCACTGACCCCCAATGTAAGGGGCATTCTTCCCACTGACCCCCAATGTAAGGGACATTCTTCCCACTGACCAGCAATGGACGGGGCATTCTTCCCACTGACCCCAATGTAAGGGACATTCTTCCCACTGACCCCAATGGACAAGACATTCTTCCCACTGACCAGCAATGGACGGGCATTCTTTCCCACCGACCACCAATGTAAGGGACATTCTTCCCACTGACCCCCAATGTAAGGGACATTCTTCCCACTGACCACCAATGTAAGGGACATTCTTCCCACTGACCACCAATGTAAGGGACATTCTTCCCACTGATCACCAATGTAAGGGGCATTCTTCCCACTGACCCCCCAATGTAAGGGACATTCTTCCCACTGACCCCCAATGTAAGGGACATTCTTCCCACTGACCCCCAATGTAAGGGACATTCTTCCCACTGACCACCAATGTAAGGGACATTCTTCCCACTGACCACCAATGTAAGGGACATTCTTCCCACTGACCCCCCAATGTAAAGGGACATTCTTCCCACTGACCACCAATGTAAAGGGACATTCTTCCCACTGACCACCAATGTAAGGGGCATTCTTCCCACTGACCCCCAATGTAAGGGACATTCTTCCCACTGACCCCCCAATGTAAGGGACATTCTTCCCACTGACCACCAATGTAAGGGACATTCTTCCCACTGACCACCAATGTAAGGGACATTCTTCCCACTGACCACCAATGTAAGGGACATTCTTCCCACTGACCCCCAATGTAAGGGACATTCTTCCCACTGACCATTACATGTACCATGGGCTGTAGATATGAGTCATTATTAGCAGGGTTCCCTGAGTCTGGAAGGGTTCCTCCATGTTATAAAGTTTGGGAAATGCATACAAAGTATCCTCTGACACCTCGGGGCCAATTTTAGGCTCTCAGTTGGCACGAGGCAACCAAATCTAAAGCCAAAATGTCTCATAATGACACCAGAAGAAGGTTTCTGGAATGGAAAAGTTTTTTGCCCCTCGATCGGTGTGAGATTGTTTAGACTTTTTTTTTTGTAGATGTGTGGCCCCGTATGACGTGCCGAGTCATGAAGCGCATTGGCAATATAGAAGTCATTTACAGCTGTGGAACCCGTTGTTGTCGGGGGATGGTAACAGCTGGAGCTGGATATTTCCTCAGAGAACACAATTCAAATAACGTCGCAGTTGATTTTCGTTCACTTCACATTCCCGGCGGCTCTCGGCAGGAATGAACGCAACCCGGTGCCCTTCTGATGGAGATTACGCCAATCTCAGTGTTGACACGACGCGTTTCACTGTATAAACACCCCAGTGAGTCACAGACGACCCCCCCCCCCCTCCTTCATATTCTAAAATAGTTTGTTGCTGCCGGCCACTGCCGATGCGAGTGATCTCCGATTCTGGCCTTTTTTGGTGATTTGATGTCCTGGCTGTTCAGGCAATAAAATGCGGAGGAATGAAGACTGGAAGGGAGACTGGAGGAGGGAGGAGTGCAGACAGCCATGCGTCTGGTGCTGTAGACCTGCACCTGACCCGGGTGTCAAACCTGCAGCACCTCCCACAGCCAGGGCTAGACTATTGTGCACCCTAGGCAAGATCAGCTATGTGCCCCCCCCCCCCCAAAAAAAAAGGCACCTGTAGTTTTACTTCACCCCTCCAGCATACATCCTCTCCCCCCAAACCCCACCTCTTAGCACAAATTCCCTATAATCCCCCCTCCATATTACCCTTCTCAGCACAATTCCTTCCTCCCCACCGAAATCCTCCCCTCCTGACACAAATCGCCCCCAATGCCCTCTCCTAGCACAACCCCCCCAAATCCCCTCTCTTAGCACAACTCCCCCAATACCACCTCCTATCACAAATTCCCCCCCAATCCCCCCTCCTATCACATATCACTCCCAATGCCCTCTCCTAGCACAAATCCCCCCCCCCCCCCAACCCCCCCCCCCCTCCTTGTACAAATTCCCCCAACCTATTACAAATCCCCCCCCCCAATCCCCTCTCCTATCACAAATTCCCCCCAATCCCCCCTCCTATCACTCCCAAGCCCTCTCCTAGCACAAATCCCTCCCCCCAACCCCCCCTCCTTGTACGAATTCTCCCCACCTATTACAAATCCCCCCCCCCCATCCCCTTTCCTATCACAAATTCCCCCAAATTCCCCTACTAGCACAACCCCCTCCGCCCAAATCTCCTCTCCTGACACAAATCCCCTCTCCTAGCACAACTCCCCCAATACCACTTCCTATCACAAATTCCACCCAATCTCCTCTCCTGGCATAAATCCCCCCCCAATCCCCTCTCCTAGCACAACCCCCCAATTCCCCCTCCTGGCATAAATCCCCCCCAATCCCCTCTCCTAGCACAACCCTCCAATCCCCTCTCCTGGCACAAATCCCCCCCTAATCCCCTCTCCTAGCACATCCCCCCATAATCCCCCCTCCTAGCACAACCCCCCTCCTGGCATAAATCCCCCCCAATCCCCTCTCCTAGCACAACCCTCCAATCCCCCCAATCACAACCCCCCCAATCCCCTCTCCTGGCACAAATCCCCCCCTAATCCCCTCTCCTAGCACAACCCCATAATCCCCCCTCCTAGCACAACCCCCCCAACAACCCCCCGCTTTGTCACAAATCCACCCCCAATCCCCTTTCCTAGCACAACCCCCTAATACACCCTCCTATCACAAATCCCCCCCAATCCCCTCTCCTAGCACAACCCCCCAATACACCCTCCTATCACAAATCCCCCCCAATCCCCCTATATCCCCCCCAAACAATGTCCCTCCTAGCACAACCCCCCCCCAATCTCATTTCCTAACACAAATCTCCCCCCAAAATCCCCTCTCCTGGCACAAATCTCCCCCCAAAATCCCCTCTCCTGGCACAACCCCCCAATACCACCTCCTATCACAAATCCCCCCCAATCCCCTCTCCTGGCACAAAACCTCCCCAATCCCCTCTCCTAGCACAACCTCCCAATACACCCTCCTATCACAAATCCCCCTCCCCAATCCCCTCTCCTGGCACAAATCCCCCTATATCCCCCCAAATTCCCCTCCTACCACACACTCCCCCCCCCCCCCCAAATCTCCTCTCCTAACACAGATTCCCCCAATTCCCTCTCCTGGCACAAATTGCCCTCCAAAATCCCCTCTCCTGGCACAAATCCCCCAAATCCCCTCTCCTAGCACAACCCCCCAACCCCCCCATCCTATCACAAATCCCCCCCAAATCCCCTCTCCTAACACAACCCCCCAATCCCCCCCTCCTATCACAAATCCCCTCTCCTAGCACAACCCCCCAATCCCCCCCTCCTATCACAAATCCCCTCTCCTAGCACAACCCCCCAATACCACCTCTTATCACACATCTCCCCCAATCCCCTCTCCTAGTACTACCCCCTCCTATCACAAATCCCCCCCCCCCCAATCTCCTCTCCTGGCACAAATTTCCCCCCCAATCCCCTCTCCTAGCACAATCCCCCCCTGCTATCACAAATCCCCCCAATCCCCTCTCCTAGCACAAATCTCCTCTCCCAGCACCAATCCTTTTCCTTCAATCCCCCCACCTAGGCGAATTCCCCCAAATCCCTTCTCTAGCTAACACCCCTCCAAATTACCCTTCCCAGTATAAAACCCTCCCACCTTACCCAAATCTCCCCCACCAGGCACAACGTCCATGGGGGAGTAAAACTAAAATCTGGGAGGGGGTGTAGCTCACCCCAGCAACCCCCTAGATCCAGCCATGGAGGACAGTAGGGAAACCAGCAGCTGTGGCTGCACCCTAGGCATCAGTGCGCCCTAGGCAGCTGCCTAGTTCTCCTAGTGGTAGCACCGGCCCCGCCCACAGCCCACTTTAAACCCATTTTTACATCCATTCTGGCCGGACAGTTTGTACCCAAAACCAGCTTTACTGTAAGACGGCAATGCTGCAAACCAGCCAGCCTTCATGTTCATCCTTGGCCACAGTCCATCAGAAAGCTGGAAAGAGACTGTTGTGTTAACAATTGCTGCTGTTACAAGAAACTGTTAGAGGTTGTTAGAGGCATCCAATTGCATCTAATTGGCAGGAGACTTGTAGATTGCTTCCAACTTACAGGGGGGGCTGTTAGACTTCTTCCAATGTACTGGAGACTGTATTGCCCTGTACACACGATGAGAATGGCAGACAAAAAAAAAATCGATTTCGGAGCGATCGTCTGATAATCTGATTGTCAATACACAGCTTTGGAGCGTCGATCGTGGCAGTTCATGAGACAATCCGAAGGGACAGGCAAGAAAATGTTTCTCGTACGTTAACAGAGCGAACGATTTCCATTTAATCAGTACAGAATTCGTCCGATATGCTCATCCTGTGTACCGGGCATTAGATTGCTTCACGTTTACAAGAGACTGCTAGATGAACCCCAACCTATAAGAGACCGTTAGACTGACTTCAATTTACAAGAGATTGTTAGACTTTTTCCAATTTACAAAAGACCATTAGACTGCTTCCAACTTACAAGAGACTGCTAGACTGCTTCCAACTTACAAGAGACCATTAGACTGCTTCCAACTTACAAGAGACCATTAGACTGCTTCCAACCTACAAGAGACCATTAGACTGCTTTCAGCATATAAGAGACTGTCAGACAACTTACAAGAGTCCGCTAGAGAGCTTGCAGCTTACAACAAACCATTAGACGGCTTCCAACTTACAAGAGACTATTAGACTTCTTCCAACCTACCAGAGACTGCTAGACTACTTCCAAACTACAAGAGACCATTAGACTGCTTCCAACTTACAAGAGACTGCTAGACTGCTTCCAACTTACAAGAGACCATTAGATTGCTTCCAACTTACAAGAGACCATTAGACTGCTTCTAACTTACAAGAGACTGCTAGACGGCTTCCAATTTACAAGAGACTGCTAGACGGCTTCCAATTTACAAGAGACTGCTAGACTGCTTCCAACTTACAAGAGACTGCTAGACTGCTTCCAACTTACAAGGGACCATTAGAATGCTTTCCAGTTACAAGAGGAGACTGTTAGAAGACCTAGTGTCTTGCGTTTGGCAACCCTTCATAGAGCAGTGACTCCCTAGAGAAACGGGTCACTCAGAACTGAGAGCTCCGGGTGGAAGATCCACCAATCACCCACCAGCATAATCTCCAGTCAGAGATTTCCATCCGGGAGATTTTGTTGAGTCCTATAGAATTGTTACATTGTTTTTGCCCAGATGAAGGGGGACCCGGCCCCTGATGAAGGGGGATCCGTCCCTGATGAAGGGGGACCCGGCCCCTGATGAAGGGGGATCCGTTCCTTGATGAAGGGGTGATATGGCCCCTGAAACGCATTGAATAGCTTTGTTCTCCTTTTTTGGAAGAGACTGTTAAAGACTACTTCCAGGTTCTACCACAGTCCTAGGGACTGCTTACAAGTGCAGAAGACTATACTAACACATTCATCTTTGGATCTTGGGGGTGTCTTTGCAGCCTGGGGGGCTGTCTTTGGAGAGGGGCCTTTAGAGCCACGGGGTTGTTTTGGGGGGATCTTTGGAGCCTGGGGGTTGTCTTTGAGGGGGTCTTTGGAGCCTGGGGGGGTTGTCTTTTGAGCCTGAGAGGGATTGTCTTTAGAGCCGGGGAGGTTGTCCTTGGGCGGGAGTCTTTGGAGCCTGGAGGGTGTCTTTGGAGGGGGGGGTCTTTGGGGCCTGGGGAAGGGTCATCATTGGGGGGGGGTTTGGCACCTGGGGGTTGTCTTAGCAGGGGTGTCTTCGGGGCCTAGGGAGTGTTATGATGGGTCTTTGGAGCCTGTGGATTGTCTTTGGGGGGTCTTTGGAGTCTGAGGGGCTGTCTTTGGAGTGTGGTCTTTGGAGCCGGGAAAGTTGTCTTTTGGGGGGGGGTCTTTGGACCCTCAGGGGCTTGTCTTTGGTGGGGTCTCTGTAGCCTGGGTGTTGTGTTTGGGGGGTCTTTGTAGCCTGGGGGT